GAGAATGAGGAAAAGGGGGAGTGGTTTTACAGGATTTTCTGTAGACTATTTTCCAGCTGAGGGAACTTGGGTACAGAGAGGTTCAACAACATGGCCAAGATCATACAGCTAGTTGGATTAGATCTTTTAAGTTCTCCCATACCCTCTGACCATGACTGTGTCTTTGAAGTCGTTACATCTCTCTATATAAAACCCTAATATGTAAATAGACCGAATGGTGGGACAACAGGTCACTATGATGTGCACTGACTACCAGGGAGCACGTGAGGAACATGGCGGGAATCGGCAACAAAGCACAGAACATGGCGGGAATTGGCCAAAGTGGGATGGTGGAGCAGGTGTGGGGGGGGGGGGTGTGGAGGCTCCAGACCAAGGTGGGGCGCCAGTCGCTGTCATTGGGGCAAGCCTCTGGTAGTTACTGAAAATTATTTGCTCCCACACACCACGGTCCTGCCCAGGGCTTGCACCTGCTGCCAGCACCCAGCACCGGCCCAGACTGCTCAGCACCATCAGCAGGTGGGAGCAGCAGCTATCGACCCCAATCACCCCTGAGGGCTTCTCCACCTCCCCCTGCTCCTGAGGGCAGCAGCCACAGCTCACACTCACTGCCAGCACTGGCCCCACTCACACCTAGTGCTGGCCCGGGCCTCAATAGCTCTGTGCCCCCAGCGGGTGTGAGCAGGGCCAGCGCTATCAGCGTGTGGGAGCGGCAGCGGCAGGAGCAGGGCTGCCAGCAGAGAAGGGACCAGGGCCGCAAGGGCAGGAGCTCAGAGGATGGGCCAAGACCCATCCTTGTGCCCATCGCAGCCTCGCGGCCCACCGTTCCTTTCAAGGTGCACAAATTCATGCACTGGGCCCCTAGTTGTTTCATATAATTCTATCTTCTCCACTAAACTCTCTAAGTGCCTTGAAGGTGAGAACTTTCTCTTAATTATCCTGGTTTTCACTCAGTAGTTGCAGATTAGATGTTGGTTAGATGGATGGATGAATGGATAGCCAAAAAATGAATACAAAACCCATGAGGAAAGTCAGTTGAAGTCTGTAAGGGCAGAAGTATTTTTCATTGAAGGCTACACCTTGGGTTCACATGGACCCCATTTAACAAACCCCTGAAATTTCATTCTTTTAAAAGACACTTGTGAATCCTGCATAAAACAAACAGCTTTAACACTTTTCAAGCAAATTAAAGTAATAATTCTTAGATAAGAGCATAAACATTTTTTTTTTCAGTTCAGGAAGAGAGCTATATTTTGCTCCAAAAGAACTCAAGAAGTTAAAATTTAATTTGTTTGCTAAGGAAGATTTGCCAAAACGAATTATCTCTTAATGGAAACAAGCTACTGGGGCACTGTTCTCTCCTCAAGCAACAGTTCAGTGCAACCTACTGTAAAATTAAGCAGAGAGAAAAGGGCACACATTCCTTCTAACAGTAAAATTGGACCAACGTGGTAAGCAATTTACCTTTCTGCTATAAAACCAATAATAAGCTAGAGTCACCAGGGCCATAGTGATTTTTAAGAAAATCCCTGTCAGCTACAATGCAGATTTGATCAGGCTCTTGTTCCTTATCTGAGGGGAACAGCAAATTCTCATTTGTACTATGCCTAAGCTTTTGAAGACTTCTTTATCCACCAAGAATCCTATAAGAAATCCTATAAGAATAAACCCAGTAAGATAATAAATGCTTCACCTGACGCAGGATGGTTTAATGTTATTATTGGCACTCTGAACTCTTAATGCTAAATTAAGATGAAAATCCTTCAAAGAACAGAATGCTGAAGAAGCCAATAAATGAGTTACATTTATAACAAAAGCTTCATGGTTACTTTTATACTACTAGAAACCGATTTGGCCGTAACAATAAAGGAATTCTACTCTTAATATACACTTACAATCAAGCATTTTGCCTAAAACCCTTGCCACTGAGTCACTGGGGGAAATGTTATAGGTTACTTTCATACACACTTTCCAAAACTTGGGTGGGTGATACTCTTTTCAGGGCTAGGCCTAACTTTGGGATAAAATAAATAATTAAACATAGAACAGTTATAAAAATTGACCACAAATAATAATTTAAAAATTACAAACATAACGGAAATATGATCTGCTCACAATGCAATAAAAACTAGAAATTAAAAAGCAAGGGGCCATTTCCATCTATCAGAATGGCAATGATGGACACGACAGACGCTAAGCTGATAAAGGTTTGGCACCAGCGGGCCCTTTCCTACACTGCTGGTGGGGAGCGCTAACGTCCTAGACTCAGGCAATTCATCCCCTTTCAAAACTGCAAAAGCTCGGACTAGCGGTTCCCAAACTTGCTTGCACTGCATCACTTGGGGAACTCAACATACCTGGTGCCTGTGTCCAGCCCTAGAGGTTGGATTTAATTGGCCTGGGCTGGGCCCTGAGTCTTACACTTTCCAGAAGATTCCCCAGAAGATAACTAATGTGCAGACGAATTGTGAGCTTATATACCCTTTGCTGAAGCAAATCCAGTTTCCATTATTTATGCGACACATACATGTTCACACATGGTGAATGGCCTGTGGCATTGATTTTAGCTTTGTTTTGTAATACCAAAAGATTAGGGACACAAAAATGTTCACCAGAGGGGGCTTGTTAAGTAAATGCTGGATTTTCATAAAGTGCAGAACTACGTGTCTCTCTGGAAGAGGTGAGAAGTATGTGAATCACATCTCACTAAGCCGCTCTATGTGCTTGAAGAGGTGCAGATGGTAGACAGCACACTTATCTACGGGAAAATTCACACACGGTGGGAAAAGTAGCCATCGCTTAGGTGAAAGTTTGCTTTTCTCTGTGTCCCCTTTCAAATGCTGGCATTGGTAATGTGCTATGTGTTAACTCTTTGAAAATGTATTTTAAAAATTAACATGACATAGAAAATCGACCAGGTCATATCACTATCCAGCCAACAGAATTTATAAGCCAGCATCTCAGGGGGCAGGAGGGAATACTTTGGGATGACGCAAATATTCATCTTTAGAGTGGTGGCGGCTGCACACCGTGTGTGGAAATAAACCTATCTTCTGGGGAAATAAACCTATCTTCTTAAAATGAGTCACTTTTACTCTATGTAAACCATACCTTGAAAGCCTGACTTTAAAAAAAAAAAAAAAAAAAAACACACTTTTTTTTAAAGACAACCTGACCTCTCGCACAATGCTGTGAGGAATATAAATAAACCGGTTTGGAAAACTGCTCTGCTCTTGACCTCTGGAGCCGCACTCAAAACTGAGACGGGACAACTCCCACGTTAACATCCAGCTCCATGAGAGGAGGCCCCGGAACAGAACGGGGAATCCAGAAAGAGCCTGCCGCGGCGGAGGTGGCCCAGTGGTGGCTGGGGAGTAATTAATTTCAGTTAACAAAACTGGTCAGGTATCTTTGTGCTCAGAATTGATCTTGCCCTTTCAAACCGCTACATGGAATTGTGTACTACAGCTATAATATTAATTGAAATTTTTTTCTCATTAAAAAAACTAATTGCCCAAGGTGGAAATCGGTGTGCCACGTGGCACAGAGATAATGAATTAGGTGCCACTGTGTGTTGCCCTTCGGAAATGAATGGGGCTGCTCACAGCAGAAGCGAATGGCCTGAGGGCTGCCTCTGCCCAGCACTGCAGATGGCCCAAGGGCCAGGGCACCTGTTACCGCTCGCTGTGAGTCAGTTCCACTGTGCCTCGTGCACTGGCACACCCATATTGTATTGCCTCATATTGTATTGAACGGTTTATTAAGTCGCTGGGGTATTTGCAGACTATTACGTTGGGTCAGACTTCCCCCAGGATGGATTCTCTCTACAGACAGTCTTTCTTGTTCACAGGTGACCTTAGTGATGGGGCGCACTGTGTAGTACGGTGGTTATCAACCTTTCCAATGCCTCGTCCCTTTCATACAGCTCCTCATGTTGTGGTGACCCCCAACCATAACATTATTTTTGTTGCTACTTCATAACTGTAATTTTGCTACTGTTAATGAATCGTAATGTAAATATCTCTGCTTTCCGATGGTCTCAGGTTCTACAGCAACAGTTCTCAATGTGTGGGTGTCGACCTGCCTGGTTTAGCTGGATAGAAAACAAAAGGAACAGAGAACCTAAGACCATCGGAAAACACAGATATTTACATTACGATTCATTAACATTACAGTTAGGAAGTAGCAACATTACAGTTAGGAAGTAGCAACGAAAATAATGTATGGTTGGGGGTCACCACGACATGAGGAACTGTATGAAAGGGTCGCAGCATTAGGAAGGTGGAGAACCACTGGTTTAGTGCTTATGTGGTAGGAGAGGAGACCAGGGAACACCCAGGTGACCGTGACCTAGTGCCTTAGCTGCTGAAGACCGACTGGCCACTCTATAGGTGCACCGCGCCCACAGATGGCCCTCACCGCGCCCACAGCAGCCCTCAGAGGTCACCGGCGCAGCTACAACTACTTTTCTTGTTTTCTCTTCTCCTCTGTGGACCTGGGTGCCCTCAAACGAACTTCACGAGACTGAAAGCTGTGGTCATTCTCCTAGAAACTAGTTCCCCAAACCCGGCATCGTTGCACGCAGTATCTTCAATAAAGAAAAGCTCCCCCTTACTCCCCACAAGCGTGTCAACTGCATACCACGGCGGAAAGTAACAGTCTGAAAATACCGCAGCGACTTCATAAACTGTTCCATACAGTATGAGGCAACAACGATTGACATTTTAAAGAGGATTATGTGTTAGTTTTTTTTTTTCTCTTTAAAGAATTTATAATTTTAAAGCATCAAAAATGCCACAGGATGCCAACTCCGATAAGGGATAAAAACGATGACAAGACCCCAAACAGCATAAGTGACCGACGTTACAAACCATAAAACATGAGAAATTACCACTCCGGCAACTCAAGCGTTAGACTTGCGGAATCTCATCATCTCTAACGTTTGCAGGACACATAAGTGCATCCCGTAGAGGCGAAGCGAGGGACAGGCCTGGGGTCCGTACCTGGTGAGGGCGGGGCTGTGCGCGGTCATGGCCACCAGCAGCTTCAGGGCGTAGGCCGGGACCGGGCCCGGCTCCGTGAGGATGTGCTCGTACCTGGAAGGACAGGGGATGGGAGAAGCACTCAGCAATGTCCCTCCTGAGACTCTCCTCCCCACACGGAAACAAGTCTGACAGAGCAGAGATGCCAAAATAAAGGTCCAGGCTCCCGGGTCTGCGCTGGCCAAGGGGACGAGTTCACTGCCCACCTCCCAGTGTTGTGGAAGTTCAATGAGACAATCCACTTGGAGCCGTTAGGACTGAGCTGCCCGCACAGCAGGGAACGTTAACATTAGCCGGATGCTTAAGTGTTGGATGGATGGATGGATGGATGGATGGATGGATGGATGGATGGATGGATGGGTGGATGGGTTGATGGACGGGCAGATGAACAAACTAACTAACCAATCAACTGTGACTTAACTATCTGGAACCACCACCAACTTAGAGGCAGCTAACTATCTCCAGAAAATCCAAAATGTATCTTTAAAAACCCATGACACGAAGCAGATGCTGCTCATGGAGAGAATGGGCCCCCAGCTTATCCACAGCCTGTTCGCTCTCACGTTGAAAATCGTTATATAACAAGCCTAGTTAAGCAGCCCCTGAGCCCACAGCCATTAAAAAGGAGCCACGTAGCGGGAGGAGAGGGACCGGAACAGAATGGCAGCCTGAGAGGTACAGCCAGGACTTGAACGCCCAGAAAAAAACCAGAGAGCAAACCCGGCCTCCACACGGGACAGGGCATCGGGCGCAGATCATGGCAATGAAAAGATCTGCCCATGTCGGACAGATGAAACACAAAATACCAGATCATTCATAACCAAGTCATAAACAAAATATTAAGAGATCAAAGGAGAACTATGTATTTAAATGAGTAGCACAACCAAGCATAATTTTTAGAAATGAAATTAGGAAATTTTAGGAAAACAATACATTTTATCACATGAATAAAACAAAAATCAAAGAAACTTTTTTAGAAGTGATAAACTGCACCTGACATCTGAATTGAACTTTTTTTTTTTTTTTAAAGGAACAACTCAGCATACTAGAGAGAAATCATTTTTCCTTTCTGGAATAGTCTTACAAAATACAAAGCCCTGTCTGGCTGGCATGGCTCAGTGGTTTAGGCATCAACCTATAAACCAGGAGGTTATGGTTCAATTCCCCGTCATGGCACATGCCTGGGTTGTGGGCTCGATCCCCAATAGGGAGCATGCAGAAGGCAGCTGATTGATGTTTCTCTCTCATCGATGTTTCTCTCTCTCTCTCTCCCCATCCCTTCCTCTCTGATAATAAAAATATTTTTTTTTTTTAAAGAAAAAGAAAAACATTGAGGAAACATTACTGACTGAAACACAAATGTGCGGAGGTTGTGTGAGGTTGCCTAACCTTGAAACAGGAGGGAAGAAGGAAGTCTATATCAGCCTGTGCATGAGAATTTTTGCAAAAAATATTGCTGTGTTTTTCTCCCCTCAGAAAATGAAGGGTAAAATTCACAGCAGACATGTTCCGAATACAAATATTGAGTATTTTGAATGTATTTTAATCAAAGAAAGGTTTGTAACAGGCAGCAAGAACTAGCTGTGATACATTAAGTTTGTCTTCCAAAGAGAGATAAAGCAGCTGGACTGGTAATAACTGGACCTCGCGCTCTTCTGAATGCCGCTTGGTAGGAAAACACAGACACAAAACAAAGATAAGCCCGGGCTCCTGGAAGGGCTTCGTGGAAGGGTGGCCAGCGAGAAGCTGCCCACCCGACAGACAGGCCCTGGGGAGGAGGACTCCAAGGGCATGGGCCCGGCCGGAGTGAGACCCCCGTCCACATCAGAGCACACTGTCCAGGAGGTGGCCCAGACTCCTCTCCCATGTTTAGGGTCCTCCCCAAACCCTTTGCTGGGCCCCAAACAGCTGAAACCCAGGCAGGACAAGCCATGAATCCTAAATTCGCATCTACCCCGACGGAGAGGAAGCATCCAAAAGTCACCCAAGGGATGAACTCTTTCCTCTCTTGTCAAGTACCTGGAGCAACTGGCACCACCTGTGTGGATAACTCGGAATTACTGAGAAGCTGTTCTAGGGGCGTAGCCCAAGAATTGGCCACGTAGAAAGAACAACCTGCTTCGCTGGGTAGTGGGGGTCTGGGGGTCGGGCGGAAGCACCGTGTCATCAGGATCCACTCTGCTGGGATCGAACCACAGACTCACGTTTCACATCCCATGAAGTGGACTCTGAGAATTTGGGGGGAAAGAGGGAGTCTAGATTGTCCAAGAAACTCTAGGGGAAATAACAATGGGGAAGATTCTAAATAACAAACTAAAGTACTTTGCAAAACCGTGCTAATTATTACCTAAAGGGAGAGATGAAGAATACAATGTAAATTAAAAGGAAGGAAGGTGGCAACACTGGACAAGAAAGTAATCTTAGAAAGGGAGTGGGAAAGAACTGTCAGGCTACGTCTTATAAAAGTGCATTGGCAATAAATAAAAAAATCTAAGCAAAAAATTTGTAAATCTGTAAATATTTACGATGCGTAAATATTCACATTTTCTGGGGTGAGAAGACCTTTATAACATAACAACAAATGAGAAGTGAATGAAAAAACTTGCTTTTTCAGGGCAAGTTTTTAAATACTATATATATATATATATATATATATATATATATATATATAATTTCTCAATGGCAAACCACCATAAATAAATCACAAGAGGAAAAATTTTTTGCAGAATGTTGGTAAAACAAAGAGTTGATATTCTTAAAATATAAAGAATTATTGCAAACCAATAAATATCCCACCAGAAAAGAGGACAAAATCCAACTAAGAAGAGTATCAGTGGCCAAAAAGCATGGGGAGTGGAAATAATCAGCTCACTAACATCTGAAGGAATGAATGCGAGTCCAGCTGACAAGGAAGAGCAACACAGGTCGTTTCACAAAGGAATGCTGTTCACACAAGCTGATGGTCATTGTTAAAAATAATTTGCCAAAACATATTCAAAAACCCTTTCCATGTATGTAACTATTAACACGGTGACTCTACACCCAGACATTCAACAAAATGAATAAGTCTGCACCGAAAGATGTAGTGCCGAAAATGGTCTTTGTAGCCATCTCTTTAATAGTGAAACACTGGGAAAGCCTAGTTGATCAGGAACTGGGAGTTGTTTAAATGATTTCCAGTGCATCTATGAATGTAGGGGTAAATAGATTACAAGACAGTCAAACACATATCTAGATAAACACATATACCTAGATAATAGATAGGCGATAGATAAATAGATAGATAGATAGATAGATAGATAGATAGATAGATAGATAGATAAGATAGATAGAGATATTCCCAGTATGATGTCTGGGAGTAGGGAGTTCTAAGGAGAAACTTTGAAGAAGCACTAAGTAAATCTCACCAGAGATGGAGAAAATGTAGGGGAGTAGGCAGATGTTAACATGAAATGGTAGACAAGAAGCAAAACCAACTGAGTGTCTTGGATGGCTGCGAAAGTACGTTCATGTTACTTTCTTCTTTTGTTTGGGGGTTTCTTTGAATCCTCATTTGAGGATATTTTTTCCATTGATTTTTAGAGAGAGTGGAAGGAAGAGGGAGAGAGAGAGAGAAAGAAACACCGATGTTAAAAGATACTACATCAATTGGTTACCTTCACATGCCTGATCAGGGCCAGGAGCCTGCAATCGAGATACATGACCGGAATCAATCCCAGAATCCTTCAGTTTTCGGGCTAACGCTCTATCCATTGAGCCAAACTGACTTGGGCTATTAAAGTTACTTTCTACAACCTTTACAGGTAAAGATTTCTGAGCAAGGGAATGACGAAGAAGGAAGGCAGTGTGATCAAGTGTGTATCTAACAGCATGGAAGATGAAGCTGAAGCCCAAAGAGGGGCTGGAGATGTGAGGGTCGATGGAGAACAGGCTCCAAACAAAGTGGGCAGGTGGCCTCTACCTTGGGGGAAGGCCAAGCGTTCCCCTGGATGGCTCTGAGAAAGGGGTAGATAGCTTACTCTTTTGGGCATTTGCTGTAGAGTCTTCTCCAAAATTTGAAGTAGGTAACATCTTTAGTCAACTCCAAAATTTTATAAAATGAGAGTGGGTATAAATCAAGTTAGTAGTCAATATTTTGATATATGATATTTCCTGTCTTGTGATTTTATGTAGCCCGAGTTCTATATCACACTGCTGTCTTGCATAAATGCATAGATATTTAAGTAATAGATACATAAGTGAATGGAGAAATAGACATGTGGGTAGGAAGACTGACAGCTAAGTAGATATATATTTTTTTAAAGTGAAAAGATAGATACGACTTCAAAGTATTAAATTTTATTTCAGACATAAGCTCTCATCTCTTCTGAACTCTTCAATAAACTCAACAGCAAATTTTCATTATAAAGGTATGAAAGGCTAAGAAAAACAACTTCAAAAAAAATCAATACTGAAGGTTTACAAATTTGGATAATTTGGAGTTAATAAGGATATTCTTTCATCCTTGATCACAACAATTCTAGCATGCTAGTTCTCTGGATAACATTAGGATACTCCTTTCTGGTGCAAAAATATTTGACTTGTTTTATCTGCAAATAAATTTTTTCTAAGGAAAGGCTAAAAATTAACTACTCCCGACTATTCTGATTGCCATCCAAGACCATAGGCCAAGTTCATGCCTATGTAGACAGAGTACTTGTAGTTAAGGGATGTAATACAGAACCACTGAATGTCCCTGACCCACCAGCATAGAAATCAAACTCAGGACTTCTGTTGGACATTATTCCAGAGGCAGATAAATAACCCGACAGTGTGTTGCCGTCGAAAGGGTAAGGCGATTCTCATCTGTAAGGAACATGATTCTCAGATTCTGAAAACAAAGCCTTAGTTAGCCGTTTATGGAGTCATTATGGCGCTGATAATTGTACAGGCCACCGGAGAATAATAAAAGGGAAAGGCAGTGCTCATTTTCCCCAGGAGGGAAATGCTGAATGCCATATTGTCATAAAAAACATTCTCAGCACATTTATATCAGCACGATCTCTTTTCAATAC